TTTCAAAATTATTTAATGAATATAGATTATATGGTTTATTAGAAGTGCCTTAAAAATGTCCCTTTATGTATTGATTTTTTGTATGTTCTTTAGATGAGCTGAAATTTTGAGGTTTTTTTTTTATCTTTTTAAAACCTTTGATAATTCAGCATGAAAGTTACCTAAAAATCTTTATTTTTTCCGCTGTGAAGAATAGAAAATCGAAATGAAACCTACACCAAAACCAGACCACTGCATCTAAATCAATAAAATTGTAGATGACTGTTAGGAAAAAACAAAGCTACACTTCTTTAATATCTACTGATCTATCTTTGCTAAATCTGCTGCACAGATAGTACCTAGTGTTGAAAATGTACTAATTGTATGCCTGACATCTTAACTGATATTAAACTAAGTTTTAGTTGACCCCGACTGCAGATCAGAGAAAAGAAACTCTGTGCTTACAATCAGTCACCTTAAATGCAATTAGTTTTCTGTGGTCTTTCTTTTCAAAGAAAGGGACGAAGGCTCCACAAGCTGCAGGAAAGATTCACACAGATTTTGAAAAGGGTTTCATTATGGCCGAAGTAATGAAATATGAAGATTTTAAAGAGGAAGGTTCTGAAAATGCGGTCAAGGTAGGGAGTTATTTTTTATTTTCATATTTCAGTTTTTCCACTGATGTGAAGATATTCATGATAAAAATGAATGATGATTGTCTTTTAAACTGTGTAGTCTAAAATAAAATAAGATTATCAGGGTTTAGTGTTGCTATCAATTGATTGAAAAGCTTACATGCTTTTAGGTCATTTAAAATGTGTGTGAATTGTCAGCTTTGTAGATTTCTTTCTATAATTGAAAATAAAAGAAAACTGGTTTGAAATAATTGTAAATAATTTCAAAGAATTTGTTCACTGATAGCCAATGAAAAATTATGCTTATTATATCTGAATATCTGAAGTAGAAGTAGTATATGCTTATGGTTAATTCAAGGAAAAGGATAGAAACTTAGTTAAATAAAACCTGTTCTTACTGAAACTTCATGGTTTTACTTTTTTTTTGTTTGAAAATCTTTGGGAATTTGATTTGCTTTCTCAACACTAGAGGGCAGGTCCAAAATTGTACTTCATTTTAGCTAATAAATATAATTTGATTTGCAGACACTAATAGTGAAGCAATGTTATACACAAGTAGTAAATGATTTTTTAATGTAAGTATTTTGCAGAATTAACCTTGGATTATTAGATTTTGCTTAGAGAAATCTAGTAACCTCTAATGGATAGATAGTTCAGCTGTTTAAACTGACATTGTAGGAAGATTTTGTTTATCTTTAATTTAATTTAATATCTGAAGACTACCATAGAAAATGTTATAGAATTTAAAGAAAACTCTCTTGGGTTTATTGTTTCATGTTTTGAAAGCATACAAAAAAGTTTATTTAGCATTTAGTTTGTTCTCATTGGTATCATTGGAAAGATCATACTGAACAGCAGGACTTTAATTGAACTGTTGGAACCCCAAGAAGAGGAGGGAAAAAATCTTGGTGTAATTGGTTCAATGTTGAGTGAGAGCCATTTTGTCTTTTAAAAAGAGTGGAAGAAGTTGCATTTTACAACTAAACAAAGTCATTAATTTTTCAGGGGTGTCATCTGTACCAATGCCGATAGATATATATTGAGATTGAACTTTGTCAGGAATACTAATTAGACTTTTAAAATCTCAGATTATTTGTTAATATGCTTCATTGTGTTGGCATTTTTTTATAGAGTAAAGAAGATAAAAATGAGGATATTTTCTATTACTAGAATTCAGAGATCAGATGTTTCTTTTTTATAGTCTTGCATGATAAACCTGTTTTACCAATCCTTAAGTCGATTTTATGTTGTAGTAAACTTGAAAGATACATGAATTGTGAATACCTCCTTTAACAATTTGACCTCTGGCTTTTCAACCTAGAATACCATCAAATATTTCATGTTGTTTTAACCTCCAAAATAAAATTTTAAAATTTGAACTTCAAGTAAAATGAAGCATTTATGAATTGCTTTATGCTCCTTTATTTAACAAATGTTTACTAGCATATTATCAAGTAGGTTTTAGGTTTGAGAGCAAGATTGTGTATATATATATATGTATGTATGTATATGTAGTTCTAACACCAGTGCAGCATAACTAATTTAATGCCAGTGCTGTGAACTATATACTGAATAGCTCTGTGTGGGCTTTGTAGTCTACAGGGATATCACATTATTAGCAATCATATCTGCTTAGGCAAAGCTGGCTTCTACAGATGGCTGCTTTCAAGTGCAAATGAACTGGTTAGACGTGTCTTGTTTAATACATACTCAAGATTCACAAATGGGTATTGATTTTTTTTTTTCAACCAGTGTTTCTGATAGCAGTGGAAATGGATTAAATGGTCTCTAGAGAATTTAAAGGAACACTGACACTTTTAATTAATATTAAACTTGAGTGGTAACAAAGTATATAAACTTACACTAATTTGTCATGCCAAGATATATTTGATTTAGATTGTCTATAGTTTTTTAACAGTGGTCTTTGGATTCTAGAAATAAGTATAACATATGGCTTTCAATATATCACATGTCTTTACAAAAATCATGTGAATATATAATTACATATATATGTATATGCCTTTTAGCATGGTAGGGTACATTGACTTTTTAAAAATAAGCTTCATTTTAATAGCATATTCTATTAGGTGATTTTATATGTAGTCTAGATAATTGAAAATAGGCTTACTAGAGCTCTGTGATCTGGTTTGTTGATTTTAACCTCAGGTATAAGATCTTTGTTAGTGTTTCTGTTACTGATTAGTATAATTTCACCTGACTTTGAACATTCTTATCGATAGCATCAAAGGGAAGTACTAATCTTGCTAGACAAAAGTTTTGAGTTCTCAATAAATTCTAACAGAAGGAAAATAATTGAGGATTTTTCCAAAAGATCATCAAGTTCTCATTGTTGAGTAGCCGATGGTGGGGTCACATGGGACCATGTCAGTTGTGGGGGAACAGAGGAGCCTGTTGTGCTTAGGGTAAAGTGTGTGTGCTATGCAATGGGGTGAACTGGGTTTTCTGGAACTGCTGCTTATTTGTGTTAAAATTACCAGCAGATTGCATGTCTGGATCTACAAACCAGCAGGTGGAATCAGTTGCTTTGCTGACTAATGTACAAGTGGAAAAAATAACTCTTTGCAATTCCAGCCTGTTAGAATCTGCTTGTAACTAGGGTCATCTGTCAGTAAACTTCATGATAAATTTTTGTACACACCGCTATGTATAGTAACCATTGTCAAGACAAAATTAAAAACTATAAGGAAATAATAGTTCAAAATATTTCTGTACATTACAATTGATCATAGTTTTCCTTATAGCAAGCTATCTTTTTGGCATCACCAGAGTCCTCAAAGAATTTCTTTAAGCAAATAAAGCAGCTTTTAACCAGTTATGTAATTTTTTTTTTCCCCTGCCTGGTTTGATCTGTTTTGTTACAGTGACTTGCTGGATGTTTGCAGACACATCAGAAATGTACCATAAACAGCATGTAATGAAACTTAATGATATTGGTATAATTACATTTATGTACCAACAATTTAGTGGAGAATACATTATGATTATGCATATATGGAAAATCTAGTTCTGCCCAAATCAGGAATACTTTGCTTCTCTTGAAGTCTAGTTTTGAACTTGTATGCCTTCTTATATTTCATTTTTCTTTTGTTTTTTTTAAAATATGACCTAAGTAGTATAATATTTTCTGCATCTGCTCATACCATTTACCCTATGTATTTAGTTATAAAATAATAACTCATTTTCTCTATATTTCCTACTTGCAGGCTGCTGGAAAGTACAGACAACAAGGCAGAAATTATATTGTTGAAGATGGAGATATTATCTTCTTCAAATTTAATACACCTCAACAACCGAAGAAGAAATAAATTTTAGTTATTGCTCAGATAAATATACAACTTCCAAAAGGCATATGATTTTTTTTTTTAAATTAAAATTTCTGAAAACCGAAGGGACAGATAAAGGTGGGGGGATGGTAATCTTCTACAAACAAATTATTTTTGTTTGTTTTAAAATTAAAACACTGTGTACCTCCAGTGAAAAGCAAGTTCACTAAAAGTGAACAGCTTTGCTTTTCACATGATTAAGACCCTACTCTAAATTGTAGAAGCTTTTCAGGAACCATATTACTCTCATGATACTTCATTAATCTCCATCATGTATGCCAAGCCTGACACATTTGACAGTGAGGACAATGTGGCTTGCTCCTTTTTGAATCTACAGATAATGCATGTTTTACAGTACTCCAGATGTCTACACTCAATAAAACATTTGACAAAACCAGCCTTGATGTGTTTGGGGATGTCTGTATTGACTGACTGTGGTGTGCTGAATGCGATACGGCACCTGGTGGTTGCTGATTACAGAATTTTAAGGCGTGTGTATGACACAGTAACTGGCAGTGTGGGGCAGCTGCAATTGTATCTTGAAAGTGAGTATTTCATGGGAATCAGGAGAACAGTATACCAGGGATTTGTCTCCAAAAAGTTAATTAATTTGTAGTTCAACATTTATTGAAAGGTGATAGCAGTGATATTACAAAGGATATACATAGGTAACTCTGACCACAAAGAAAAAAATCGTTTCGAAAATTAAGAAATTTTGTTTGTTATTGTTGTTCTGACCATCTTGGAAAGAGTGTTTGTTTTTAATCTTTCCTTTGAAATTATTAAATTGTGAAAATTGACCCATTGAAGTCTGGTGGGTTATATTTTTGTTTTAATTGAGTAGTATGCACAAAAGTACATTTGCTGGTTTTGAAATTACTAAAATGATTAGACTTGGAAAATTTAAAAACTTCTTTAATGCTTGCTATTAAGATATTTTATACTAGTTGAACTTTTAGTGTGTATAATTTGAGAACTTTTTAAAAAATTGTAGCAGGAAATTGTGAAAGAAAGAATAAGGACAAATTAGTTATATGGAGACCATTTGTCACTTAGCCTTCTCTTACGGTAGTGTTGGTGCTCTCTCATCTCTGAGTCCTCCCTTGCTCCCCCATGTGAACACTCCTGTGAGACCTTGTCCCCGTCTACCACCCCTTTTGTAAATCATAGGACCATTTCTGTGGAGTGCAGAATCACATCCAGGCTAGCCTTTGCCTCTACTGTATTAGTTTGTCACATTAAGGATAGAGAAGTGTTAAAGAAACACACATCAACTTAATACATAAAGGTACCTAACATGGCACAAAAGGCAAGGAAATTTGGCTGTATTTAGGAAAGGGTAATTAAAGAGGATGATGTTGAGTAGTGAATATAATTTAAAAGCTCCCTAATGAGTTTGATCTTTTTGAGTGTCAAATAGTGTTCTTTTTTTGCTAACGTAAAAATGAGTAACCTACAGCAGAGAAAATAAGAATAAAACTAAGTGAATGACTAAAAAAACCTAATAAAACATAAGTGAAACTAGGCTACAGGCATAGTTGACCAAGTTTGCTGTGAAAAATTATTGTTATATTTCTGTATTGGAGTAATGTGTAGATTAGTGGGTTGTTAGGGACTTCAACAGTATGAGAAGAAATCAAATATCTTCCTTTTGAGTCTTCTCCAAAGTAAGTTGCATAGAAGTTTGAAATCTCACTAAAAAGACTTAAAGATTGTGTAATTTTACTTTTTCTAACTTCTAATGTGATAGTTGCACATCGCAGAAAAGAACCATTCATAAGAGAAAGAAGTTAGTTTTTAGGTAACTGCATTCATTAGGGGCTAAGATTAAATGTTTAAAATGTTTAATTTGGTTAGAAGTTCTGCACCATTCTATATACTAGTGCAAAATTTTATTTTCTACAAAAGTTGAGAATTCCAAGAACTGTTACATATTGATAACCAAATATATGCCTATATCAGAACGTTTTCTCCTCCTTTAATATTGGTGATAGTTAATATATTTTAGGATTATAAGTAAATATTTTTGCACCTATCTGTATATCCATCTTAATCAAATTTGTAGGTATATGAGTGAAGCCTCTGTTCACTTATAATTTGCCAGCTCCATTTGTGGAGTAAGTCTTCTTACACATGATTAATCAATGTTACTCTATTACAGTTCCAAGTTGATGTTTATCTCTAGTTGTCTCTGTATATGTAATATTCTCAAAGTTCTTTGTAACAACTCTGTTTCCCCTCATTTAGAAAGTCAGAGACAGAGAAAATCCCTTCTTTTCCTGCCTCATATTCTTCTGATTGGTCTACTTAAATTTACTTAATGCTCTTTTTATTTTGCCAGAGACTTGCAAGATGCTTGTTTCTAATGGCAAACTGCTTTAGATGGGAAAATTCATCTTATTTTAATCTTGTGAAAATGCATAATGGCGACAGAATACAAGAGCTAGGTTTGACTTTTAAGTGACTTTTTTGTCCCCTCACTGGTTTGGGGCCCCTTATAAAAATTGACAGTTCATGAATCTCCTTCCTGGTCTGTGAATATCCCAAAGTACTTGTAAATTGGTATCTCAGCCTTGTTTTGCAATTAGGAAATATAAAAAAAGAGGAGATTCACTTTGTCACGCAGTCAGCACATCAGTGTTCTCAAACCACACATCAGATCTGGTCCTTGGATCCTTTGCAGGGCTAGGACTGATTTTTTCATCTCAGCAATGCTATGGTTGTAACACTTTCCAAACTTCTAAGAATTTATAAACTAGAATGCCAAATTCTTCATTTACATTAGAATATATTCCTGATTTATAAATAGTAGATGGTGGGTATGGCCCATCTGTACTCAGGAGTCAGGAGGCCAGAGTTTGAATCTTGACTGTACCATTTCCTAGTTGTATGACCTTGGTTAGGCAAGTTAGTCTTGCCTCTGTCAGGTCACAATGAAAAGATAGGCACAAATACTTAATTACGGGTATTTCTTCTACGGACACATGAGAATAGGAGATAACGATTTGCCTCTTCAGCATTACAGACTTCCAGTACTGGGACAAACAGCAGATTCCTTAATGAAATATGAAAGGAACTCTGTAGTCACATGAGTTGTCATTCTCAGATACCGCTCTTTCTTTCACTCTGAATTATGTTTACCAAACCAGGGAATGATTTATTTGATGCCATTCATGGGAGCATTTCTGTATCTGCTTTCGTGTTATGGATTGTAGAGCTTCTTTCACACTTGGCAAACAACTAAGGAAAGAAGTAGCCTTCGTAAGGTGCCTGTGTATGTGACCTGCCCTCAAAGGCCCATAGAGCCCGTCTAGTAAAGCCAGTGCATTCTGTTGCCACAAAGTATGAGAAAGATGGAGAAACAATGATATGTCCTATCTTTGACTCTCCTTCTGGTGTTCATGTACATTGCCTTTTTTTTTTTTTCTTTTTTTTTCTTCTGGTGCAATAACCTGTTTTGGTAGCCTAACCAAGGAATAGGCCATATCTTCATTTAATTACCACCATACTTTCCTAGTCCTCTTGATGTAGTTTTATAAAACACTCTAAGGATCATGACTATAAAGTCCTGTCTGTTTAAAGGAGGTTATTTGTAGGTTATGTTATCCATTCCATATTGATTTTATTCTGAGAAAAGGACATTATCTGAGGGTATGCTAGTTGTCTCCCAGAGTGCATTCCTCTTTCTTCATAATTTTAGAATATAGCTAGGTGCATGGCTGTCCTGCTAGACTATTTCCCAGCTTCCTTGCAGCCAGATGGAGTTCGCATGACTAAGTTCTTGTCAGTGGAATGTGAACAAAGTGATGTAGGCTGATTCCAGATCTGGGCCTTAAAAACTTGGATGTGTGCTCCCCTCACACCTTGTCCCTTCCAGAGGACTCATCACTAACACTAGGGCAACACCCTAGGGGACAGTGGAGCAACCATATGGGAGGAACCTGCATTTCTGAATGACTCTGGGGAGCAGAGCTACCCAGTAACCACTGATAATCTGGCCACAGCCTACTTCTCTGGTTTCCTCTCCCATTATTCCTTTTCTTTTATAGATACAGAGAAATTAAATTTCTTAACCAAAATTGCACAGCTCATTATTTCCTCTCAGAAAAACAAATAATTTCCTATAATTTTAAAACTAGCACAGTATAGCATTATCTGCATTAAATGACCCATATTGGCCTTAATGTAAATAAGTTTGGGAGAGTAGAATGAAAATCCCATCAGCCTTGATCAAATAAACTTGAAAGTTTTCAGCAATCCATGATTTTCCTATTATTCTAGCCTACTGTACTTATGAGCAGTTTCTTTAAAAAAATAAGTATTGGGCATACAGAGAGATGAGAAAATACCCAATACAGACTGTTGTGATTCCCCTATTTCTTTACCTTATTCTCTCTTCTCCAAATTATAAGTACTGTGAGAATCAAAAAGGAGTATTCATCCTAAAGAAATGGGAATTGTGGGCTGGCGGGTTAGTTCAGTTGGTTAGAGCACAGTGTTATAATACCAAGGTCAAGGGTTTGGATCCCCATACCAGCCAGCTGCCAGAAAAAAAGAAATGAAAGTTGTGGAAATTTGGAGGGAAAAAAAAGTGTCCTATTCAATGAAAATGTGCTGTCCCTCAGCCTGCTAGGGTGTAGAAAGTATTATATGTTTTTATCTGAAGAACAGTTACTCAGATGTATACATGTATAGAAATGTCATCAAGCTGTACAGTCAAGATTTGTAAACTTTAAGTTATACCTCAATTTAAAAAAGAAAAAAAATGCATCCTTCAGTTAAATGGTTGGTTGGTAAAGCCCCTATACATGCAATGTTATTGGCAATATTGTCTTTATAAAGTATGTATGTATGTGATTTAAAAAAGAAAAAAAATGCATCCTTCAGTTAAATGGTTGGTTGGTAAAGCCCCTATACACGCAATGTTATTGGCAATATTGTCTTTATAAAGTATGTATGTATGTATGTATGTTAAAAATTTAAAGATGTTGGTTAGAGATGATATCAATATATAAAAAATTGTTAATGTTTAAGATGAGCAAACTTCACAATTGAACAGAATATACTATTTCAGAAACTATTATAAAGTACTGGTTCCCATAGATGAGAAGGCAAATTATTTTCTGAGATCCAAAGAATTGAAATCTGTATCAACTGTAATAAGATTCAATTGTAATATCAAAAACAATTGGAAGCAATTTAAATATCCAATAATATGACAAAATGGTGAAATGAATTATGATACATTCATGCAAAAGAATACCATCAGCCATTAGAAAGAATAAAGTACATCTACAGGAGCTGGCTTAGAAAGATTTCTTATTCTTGTTGCTTTGTGAAAAAGTAAGTTACAGAACGAAATGAAGAGTGTGAACTAGAGGTAACCTCAGTCAACTGT